ATTTATATCAAAAGACAAATGGTATGACCCTAAATTGAAAGAGGAACCTTTCAAACACGTCCTTCACATTTCAAATAATGACCATTGGAAGTTTCCAAAATTTTGCCAAATGTGGTTGAATAAAATCATCCGAAGAACCACTGTGAAAAAAAACTTCCTGCCCAAATAACAAACCTTTAAATCACAAGGTTGTAGCCTTGTAGGACCTGAAGCTCCATTAAAAGCATTATGTGAGAAGAAGCTCCATTAAAAGCATTATGTGACAAGTTATGGAATTCTGCCATTAATTCTTCAATAACTAAAACAAAATCATTCGTGACATTTAACCACGTAGTTTCCAGTGGTTGTTCATCTTTCCGAGGAAGGAAAAGAAATTGTCGATTCAGCACTGATGGCGAGAAGTGAATTTGTTGTCCCATGTATAGCAAAGTCCACAATCGCGTTGGCCTTGCGACTCTGTAGCAATCATTTGCTTAACAGGAGTAGAGGATGGAGGCTCTAGTGAGGGTGATGTTTTTAGAGTTGAAAGTAATCCTGGAAGAGACAAATTTTGTGACGATGACATTTGATTGTTGCGACTTTGAATAAAGGATACTTTTGTGTTATGTGAAACAAGAATGGTCTTAGCATCATAAAGTTTTGCTAGTGCCACCACTCTGATAAAAGAAGTAAGAGATTGAACTAGCACTTCTCTCTTCACATCACTTTTGAGGTCACAAATAAAACAATCTAAAAGTGCAACATATAACTTATTCAACTCTATTTGTCAATGAAGCAAATTCATGATAGTAATTTTCAACCGAATTGATATCATTCTTAACCCAAAATTTTAAGGCATTAGATTATGATTTATACTTCTTTATATGTTGCTCAACTTTCTCATTCATACTCAATATGAATGAGAAAGTGGGAGTCTCTTTCCTTAACTCACGTTACCCAACAATCTCTCTCTCAAGTGTGAGTCCCTTCACATTGGTATTAGGTCATGGTTTATACTTCCTTATATGTTGTTAAACTTTTTCATTTTTACTCAATGAAAAAGTATGGGTCCCTTCACATTAGTATTATGTTATGGTTCATACTTCCTTATATGTTACTAAACTTTCTCAATGAGAAAGTGACTCCTATACCTAACTCACACTTGGATTACCTAACAATCTTCCCCTCAAGTGTGAGTCCTTTCACATTGGTATTAGGTTATGATTCGTACTTTTTCTTATATGTTGCTCAATTTTCTCATTCTTACTCAATTCTCATTCTTTTGTATTTAACTCACACTTTGATTACCCAACAATCTCCCTCTCAAGTGTACTTTCTCATTCTTATTCAATGAGATAGTATCCTTCAAGTGTGAGTCCATGAGACTTAATTCACACTTGGATTACCTAAAAATTTTCTCCTTAAGTGTGAAAGACTTAACTCACACTTGGATTACCTAACAATTTCCTTCTTAAGTGTGAAGGACTTAACTCATACTTGAATTACCCAACAATTTCCTCCTCAAGTGTGAGTCCCTTCACATTGATATTAAATTATGATTCATACTTCTTTATGTTGTTCATATAAGGAATTGATACCACTCTTAACAAAAAACCTTAAGATATTAGATTATGGATCATATTTCTTTATATGTTACTTAACTTTCTCATTTTTACTCAATGTGAGACTTAAGTTATAATTGGATTACCCAAAAAATTAAACAGAGAAGGATCAAAATGCGTTTCAACATCTTGCACCTAGGGATGACAATTAAACCCGTACCCGTGGGGACCGACTCATCCCTGCCCCGAGTTTTACGGGGAAAACCCGAGTTGACTGAGGGTGGGGACGAGTTCGGATTTTCCCCGCTTTAAAAAGTCGGGGCGGGGATGGATAATGCAATCCTCACCCCGATGTCGTCCCGCCCCGACTTTATATTTAAATTTAAAAATTAAAATATTAATACTTTAAATATATTTTCTTTTCTTTTTCTATTAGATATAAGGTTATTTTTTTTAATATTTCACCAATTTTATTTTTCTTCTACCCACTTTTAATTTTTTTATCTTTTATATCAATTAATTTATTATATTATTTTCTCTACTACCTTTCTGTTTTCTACATTTCCATAATTTCTCCCATCAATTTATTTATTTTTTTAATCTTTTCAATCAATTTGATGAACACAAGGTAATTTTTTTCTTTATCTTTTTCTAAATATTTTACATAAATCCTAATATTAACTACTATTATTTTATTTATAATTTATATTTATTAGGTTTTATTATGTCATATTTTTTTATCTTATTATTCTTATTTATCATATATCAAATTTTATCTTAATAAAATAATTATATTTTAAAGGATTAAAAGAAATTGATAATTTAAACTTTTATTACTTCGAACTAATTAAATAAGAATTAACTTATTAAATATTTTCTTATAAACTATATATTTCATATTTTTAAATGACAACTTAAAAATGAATTAACTTATATATATAATTAAATGTTTGAGTATAGTATTATAATAATAATATTATAAGTATTCAAATATTTGAATAGTGTAATAATAATAATAATAATGTTATAAATATTCTTTATATATATAAAAAAAATAATTAAATATTTTTTACATACATATTTTAATATAAATATAATAAATTAAAATGTATATTTAATTAATAATAATTATAAATTATAAAATTATAAATATTTATTTATATATAAAAAATATATAATAAAATTAAATTATTATAAATGTAATTATCTTTTTAAAAATAATATAGATCGAGGACGGGACGAAGATGAAGTGAGGACAGAGAACCCGAAACCCAGTAGAAACGGGATGCAGACTTAATTTTTAACCCTGACAAAAATTGAGAATAAGGACGAAGATGATTAAAAAAATCGAAGACGATAGGCAAAACTCGGCTCGCTCCGCTGCCATGCCTCCTTGCACCATAGCTTGCTAAGTTGGAAGGAGATTGGTTGTTTGCAGCATTTGAAACCAGGTCCAGCGTCACCTTCCATATGGACTGTGGTTTCAGTGTGATATAAAGAGCGAAAAACGGCTCAGTGCGTACTAACCAATTTAAAGATTTTGTGCCATTAAACATATTAAACATAGCGAAGTCCAATTTCATTTATCGAATAGGCAAATTATTATTGTTCAAAGTTCCAAGAGTACCATCATTACTAATTGTGCGTTCCAAATTACGCGAAATTGTATCAATTGAAAGCGTAATGGTAGCAATGAGTGATTCTAGACGATCCAAGTGAGAAGAATTGTGAGAAACCATGAATGAATCTAGTGTCAGTTCCAAAGCATCAACGTGCGAAGATCTGACTTGTTAAATTGAAACATGTTCTTGGAGGCGTTTTAATTCTGCCGTAATTTCCTTCAAACGAGTATGTTTGGCCATGGGGAGGACAACAAAAGCACCAAATGTTAAAGTACTAAGAATCAATAAGCAATTACATAAACTAAACAAAGATAATATTCTCTAATTTATTATTGAAATAGGAATTACAATTAGTAACCGAGATACAACCGGAAAATAGGAAAGGAAATAGAGAATAAAGAAGAAATTAAAAAAGAAAAAAAAAATATATATATATATATATATATATATATATATATAAATATTACATTTATAATAATCAATAATTTCTAGTTTTGTGTTCCTGGCGGCGAGGCTTTTTTATATTAATTCTGTCCCTGTCAGCAATTATCACAGCATCCAAATCACTTTTCTTGAAAGTTAAATGATGGAGGACAATCGAAGGAATTTTCCATCATTGAATTTCAACACAATAGCGTTGGAAAAAATATTGTAAATTAATTTGAGTTTGTATTAGTTGGACCTTTTAATCCTTAACATATAATTCTGAACTTTATAAAGAGTTGTTTAATTTAATTTTACTTTATTTTCTGCTGTTATTTTTCACTAAAAAAATGTTAAAATAGGTACCATTTTATAAAATTAAAACTATTTTGTGCGAAATTGTAGTGTGTTAAAAACTTATCAACAAGTATGACACAAATATAATAATTTATGCCTTTTTAACCAAGTGATTTAAGATTTAAATTTGTATAATATAAAATAAATCACGTTACTCGTTAATATTATAATTATAAACAAAATTTCTCTAAGCATATTTTTCTCACACATGTTTTTATTTTTTATGTATCGTACACACAAGAGATTTGAGAATTGACAATTTAGAAATTAGAAAAAATATTTTTTTATTTTTTAACTCAAGTCCTAAGATGTTACCTTTTTATTTACAAAATTGAATTATCTAACTTATCAGATTGAATAAATAAAGTAATTAATATAGTAAATAATAATAAAACTACATTTTTTTCCTCAAAATTTTTTATGTTTAATAATTAATAATATTCTCTCTTCAATAAACACTTTTACTGATATTAATTAGAGGTATTTAGACTAAAAAATTACAAATTGATTTAAAAAAAAAAACATTACTTTTAATGTGAGTATTAAAAATAGAAATGAAGATACCAGTATCAGTATTTTTCAAGAATACATTCATAGAAATGTATTAAATATGAACTTTTTTTTAGCAGAAAATGAGTAAAGCAATGATCAATGTGAGGAGAAGGTAAAGTGGTCCATGAAAAGTGAAGGATTATGGAAGCCTTTCGCTTTATTCATTATTTTATTACCAAAGAAGCCTTTCACTTTAATGTGGTGAAGGGATAAAAAGAAGGGCAAAAAAGTATATAAACAGGTAGATTATTCCGTATACAAACACAGACACAATCAGCAATTGACAATTGGTTGCAGAGAGTGTGGGAGGAGAGTCACAACTACCAGTCCTTGCTCTGCTTCCTGTGAATTTGGGAGAGTAAGGAAGCAACCAGGAAAGTGATTCCTTCCCCTCCAAAACACATTTATTTATAACAGCAAAGCACCTTCTATTTTCTTCGCCACCAATCCATCACTCTCTTCAAACACCCACCACTATCTTTGTGAGTCTGAGGAAAATTGAAAAATGAAAATGGGGAAAGTAATCATTTTTAGTGTTGCTCTGGTGGTCATGTGCCTGGGTGCAACAGCACAGGTGCATCATGTGGTCGGAGCAGACCGTGGTTGGGATCCGACCTCTGACCTTGTTTCATGGTCCTCTGGCAGGGTCTTCAGGGTTGGAGATCAAATTTGTAAGTCTCAGATTATTTCTCTCTCTCTCTCTCTCTCTCTCTCTCTCTCTCTCTCTCTCTCTCATATATATATATATATATATATATATATATATATATATATATATATATATATATATATATATATATATTTACCAAACAGGCAAATCCATTATTTTGTTATGTTTTTCCATTATATATTATCTTACCTTCCCGTTGAGTTTGAGTACTTTCTTGGTTTTGATGAAAATGAAGAATGCCCTGATTTATTTTATTTTTTACACGATTTGGGTCTTGACATTGATCGTGATGATATTTATCTAACGAAAAATAAGAGTAGAGTATAACACGTCAGCTTTCAAAGATTGCGTTTCCCGTCTGTTACGTGCGTTCATTTAACCGGAGGAGCCCAGTGAAACATTGCGTATTTTTTAGGTCTAATACTCTGTACTGGTAGTATAGACTTAGCTCCTTATTTTTGGTAGGGTTAGGTAATTTTGGGTAGTCTGTCATAGGATTATTTGTTTAACAGTATTCCTTGTGTAAACAAATAAAACCTAATAGTTTCTATAAAAGATTGTGTTTATGCCGTGTTCCACTATTTTATGAATAAAGAATAACTCGAGGATTTTGTGGGGGTTGTGAACGGGTAAAACGAGCAGGGCTCACATACTCAGTGGCTCAGGGATTGGTTGCCGAGCTGAAAAGCAAAGAGGAATATGAGGCGTGTGATGTGAGCAACCCCATCAAAATGTACACAGAGGGTTTGCATACAATCCCACTTGAGAGAGAAGGAAAGAGGTATTTTGTGAGCAGCGAATCAGAGAACTGCAAAAATGGTCTGAAGCTACACATTGAGGTTATGCCCAAGGCCCAAGGCATCACAAACACTAAGTTCTCTACCTTATCTGATGAGGCTGCGGCGCCCACTACTCCTTCTGCTTCAACCCGTTATGGTCACAGCAGTGTGTTAATGCTCACAGTTATATTTTGCGTCACCATGGGCCTTGCTTATTGACATCTCTCATTAGCCTATATGTCTGGACCATTGGCTCCGTATATGTATTTAAATACTGTTTTGGGATTTGAGACCCTGGTATGGGCCATTTTTTTAATGCGCCTATATGTCTACTATTCTAGCTGAAGATACTTCTTTTAGATTTTTTTTTTTTTTGAAGTTATCAGTTTTATGGAATCTACAACTGCCATGTTTATAAGCATAAGGTTTTGAATCCCGACATTACAGTGATTTATTTATTTCCGATGGCATTTCAAATGTCAAGATTGTTGAATTTGTACAGTGCATTTTACAATTATTATCAAAAAGCATCATATTCAATCTCTCAAATATTACTATCTCTAAACATTTTTAGAAGTAACGAATTATACGAATAATGTTTAAAGTATTGAATATTCGTAAGTTTACTCCCAACAACGATGCATTTGAATAACGTTGCTAGATTAATTTAAAACATTTGTCGACAATAATTTAAATGCTTGAGAAATTATTCAGGCAATTTTATTGTTTTAAAAACTAATTAGAAAAAAAAATTATATCTGTTTTAAAACTAAATTGATGTTTTATTTTCGAAGGATAAATTGACGGCATATATCATGAATATTTTATACAGACGAAAAATAACGATAAACGTACATAATTTTTATTTTTATTTTCACTCACGTACATATGATTTTATAACTTACACAATTTGCTTCTTTCTACAATATAAATAACTAGTAGTGTTGTTTATTCATCGCACCGGGGTAATACATCTTCTCCATTCAATATAGTCGCATTTGTAACCCGATGAACCTGATTTTCACGAGTTGCAAAATAAAAAAAGTCGTGCACTTGATGGGCATTAACTTACTAACATAATCACGAAGCTGGTGCCCAAAATGTGAAAATTATACATGGTATATCATCTTATTTTCTCTTAACCAATCACTGCGGTCTTCATGTCATCTATCTCTCAGGATAACATAACTGGATCCATTTGCAGTCTTCTGTATTTTAGAGATTCTCTTAAGGATCTCAGCAAATGCTTGCTTATCCTGCATGTAGCAAAGAAACACAGGGTACAGTTTCAACCAAAGATTTAAAAATTGAACCAGTGATGCTATCACGTCACAGTTGGACCAGTTTAGTCATCAATCCAAATGGATCACACGAAAATAAAGTATACAAAAAAGTACAAATCAGATATGACAGCAGCTTCACCAAAAGGGTAAAAACTTAAATTTCAGGAAAAGAATGTAAAATGGCCGGCAAGCAAGGCTGTGGGAACAATTACAATGCCCATGTTGGCGCAAGGGTAAGGAGGCGTTTTTCCTTCACTATCTTGATGCTGCCACCTGTTCTTTTTTCTTTTGGCAAACCATGTTGGGCTTTTACTTTGTACAGAAGCTAATAGTTATATTGCAGAAAATACCCTTCGATACGAGTTTTATTATTATAAAAAAAACGCTGTTTATCTCAATATTTAGTAGCTGCCTCAAACTGAGAAAGGAATCAGTGAAGCATTCTTATCCTCACAAAATACATAGTTTATGCATCCAATCATCTATTCAAAAGAACAAGGCAATATAAGATTATTAGTTGCTAGATTGACATAAGTAACAAATTCATTATGAAGATTATTAAAATAGTAGCTCCACAAAAATTAGATGCACTGCGTCATTTCCAAAACCTGGAGCCAATTTATAATCTTCAGCAATTATAGTAGGCTAAATATTTATTAAGAAATAGACTGGCCCTGGGAAGTATGGAGCAGTGAAAAGCACACCATAACTACAAATATACTGAAATGCATTGCGGATATGGCATTACACAATTTGATTATAAGAACAATAAAGCAAACATACAAAGTTCAATCGAGGATAGAACAAATTTGACACTTACCTCTGAAGATCTTAGTCTTGCCTTAAATTTAGCTACAAGATCCTGAGTGGTCACTGGAGTCTTCTGCCTTAGAACAGCTCTAATTTCTTCCTCACTCACAGGTCCAGAAGCTGTTGTGGAAGACGCAGGCTTTGAAGATGATGGAGGTGTACCTTTGGGCGGTGCACTACTTTTAGATGCAGACCCATTTACATCTTTGGCAGACGATTTTGGTTCCTAATATAATAAGTTAATAAAGAATTTCAATGGTAGTTATAGGAAAACCTGTTGGCTTAGCATTTAAAAATAAGTTCTTTTTATAGCAGAAAAAAAAAGTTGCTTGATAAAGATTTTTTTAAAAACCATTCTACATACAAATCTACAAAAGCCATAGGGTGTTCGAATCCATCATTGAAAAATTGCCTCCAAGATAAATTAAGAGCACTTTTTGTCCAAATCATCTAAAAAAAAGTTTTCCAATTCAGAAGTATCAGTTCTTTTTTTTAAGTAAAATGACTTTCTAAAATAGGCCAAACACCCAGGTAATTGCAAAGTGCTGAGTTATAGAAGTTATCCAAGCAGCCAACAATTTTGCAACAAAGTAGAGCAATCTGACGAAAATCAGTAACTTACATTTTCCTGCTTCACCTTCTTTGGTGTTACAGTATTAGATGGCTTTACTTCTTCATTTGATTTTCTCTTTCCTTTTGAAGACTTTGAAGATGGTGTTCCACGAGCAGGTCCTGTTGCGGTTGGCTTTGAAGGGCTATTGTCAACAGGTTCTTCCTTAGGGGCATCCTTCTGCTTCGAAGCAATCACAGGAGGAGCACCAACCTCATCATCCATCTAGGCAAACAAAAATGACTCTCATTAATCCATGAAAAATACTAGTTTTCCAGAATGCCAATGAAATATGTTGAAAGAGATAAAAAAGATGCTACAGATGCTGAAAACTGTGTATGGACAACACAAGAGAGTCCATTTTATATAAGTTGGTCCGGTCACAATAAATTCAAATGATATGATATGCCTATAATCATACTATAATAAATCTGATTCTATTTAGATAACCCCATGACAATAAATATTATAATTAAATAAAACAAATTATAAAATATAAAAACAAGAATAAATGTCAAGAGTTCATTTAATATATACTCTAAAATAATCTAAAAGATAAATTTAGCAGATATTTCTAACATTAGAAACTAGGTTTAAACTAACTTGACCTCACAAATCTGCTTAGTTTGCACCCAACTATACATTATAGTTTTTTCATATCTCTCGACAATGTAAGATTTCCAACAAACTAAAAAACAAATTACCCACTTCCCTTGTAGAGATGTCAAATTATAAGGTAGCTCACCACAAAAGACATTGCAGTTTGTACCAAGTTATGTTTATCTTTTTCATCTTAACATTGGCACAGCGATTATAGAATTTCTTTAAAAAGATAAAGAAAATGGAGAACTGAAAAGAGAAAAAGAAGTAACAAAACTTATACATCATCATCATCATCATCGTCTTCCTCTGCATCAGATTCATTCAGACCACAAGCTTTCCCAAGCAGCTTCTTCAGCTCTTTCCCAGATTTACTCAAACCTCCCTCTTCTTCATTATCTTCATCCTCCTCCTCCTCATCCTGCAATAACATGAAAACCAAATATAAAAACGTCTTTACCACTGCAATTTATACCATATGAAGAACATAATTTAAACATCAAACATGCCAAAATGACAATACCGGAAAAAGAAACCAAGGCAGTTATGCAAATGAGAATAAAATGCAGCTTAATCAAGTAGCAAAGTTCTAATGCAGGAATCACTATACAGCCTTTAATAAAAAGCAACTTAAGTATTAAAGTTCTTATCCTGGAATCACAATGAAGACCATTCTGTGAAGGTTACTTCAGAATGTTTTCTCTTAAAAAATTATCTTTATGTAACCAAGAAATTCACTTCTTGATTGTGAACTATTTTTCATCTCATAACAAAGATTATTTCAACCCAGTGAAAATATAACATGTGGGAAGTGACAAGAGAAAAGTAGCAGATAACATTGTCTGCTGTCTCAATAATTCTGACCTCCATAAATAAATACCTACCAAATACATCAACTATTAAATATTTGAGGAGTTCAAACTAACCTGTTTGATTTCAGGAGGAGCAGGAACTTCAGGAGCCAACTCCTCCCTTTCCTCAGGATCATTTCCAACAGCTTCATCGTCATCAGTGAAAATCTCTTCATGCTCCCAGTCATCACCTGTAAGAGATGTATGAGTCAAAAGAGAGAATAAGCATGTTAATTTGTTAGTGTCCTATAAGTTTTCAACAAAAACGAATCTAAGTTAATCTATTCATGTATAGCTTAAAAAACATCTACTAATGCTTTCAAGGTTCAATTCATGCCAATTTAAGATTCAATAAACAGATTGTAATCACTTGCAATGATTCCAATGAGACAATATACAAGTCAATAATAGATCAATCAACTCAATAGGCAAACTAATTAATCATGCAATAACATCAATCCATTGTTACTCGCAGGTTATGACACCTCATGGCTTACCCCAGCAGTTCAGCCCATGTTCAAGAATTGGCCTCTAAAATAAATTAAAAAATGGGAATAATTCGTGCAAAAACATTATATAATTCATGGCTCTGCATTTACAGTTTACCAGATCTTCTTAGAATTATTATATGAGAAATGTTGCACAGCTTCTGCAACATGAAAATTGACACTGTGTTGACAAGAGACAGACAAGTCTTGTGTGTTTACCAGTCAATTACTTACTGGTTTGCAGACCGTTAAGTAGGTCAACTTTCAAACAAGATGTTCTCATCAGTTAATTTCCATAATCCTTTTTTTGTCAGCATTTTTTTAATGGTACATAAATAAATTTTATGTGATGCATTGAGATGCACCTGCCCTATAATATTTATAGGATTCACAAATCTTAAGAAATCATGCACATACAACTTACTTATGGCAACAAGTATTAAGAAGCTACACGAATTCTGTAATCCTAGTTACATCAAATGAAAAAAACAAATACTTAAAACCTGAATTATATTTAGCCTATACTTGATTCATGGAAGTATTCGGTTTGTTTTTATATTCACTAACCAATATCCTC